TCAATCAATTAACTAATTACATGAATATTTAATGCTAGCTTTTGGAATTGCCAATTACTATAGTTAGCTCAAGAGATACTGGATTATAAAGAGACAGTGTCCCAACAAAAATATACATTTCCCATAGTGCATTTTTTGCTAATTAGAAGCATTTTATGACATTTATAGGCTTTGACACAGATATTTCAACTTAGTTCACTACATGCAATTTGGCATCTTTAAAGGCTAAAATCTTTTCTCTATTTTGTGGTTTGAACACTTCCAGAGAATTCACTTAGAGGATCATCCTGCATTTGGACAACTGTCTTTTCACTATGGGGATTTGTCATCAAGGAATATATCCTCCTTTAAGAAAGAGAGTTTTTTCTTTATCCATTCACTGCTAATTCCACCTGTCTATCACCGTACCTAATGAAGGAATATTAATCTTGAATATCTTCCCCCTATTCAGCCTCCACCACAGAACATCATAAGCTATTAAGAGCTGTCAGTACAGATGCAGACCTTTGCCCTGTGAAAGTTGTTTTTTCTTCTCTTTTGGTCACACAAGTAAATCCTTCTAAATCGCTTTTCTTCGCACACACACACACACACACACACACACACACACAACAAAGGCCACCAGGTACACCCTTCTGTCACCCAATCTCCCCTAAACAACACACCTCACTGTTCAGACCTGCTCCCACCAAAGCTGCAATTATATGAGTGCTGCCTAAAATGCCTTGAGCACTTGCACCATGTATTCAATTCTCTCTCTTCTAATTACCACTGCCGCAGGACAGGTGAGGAGTCAGGGCTGATAAGATCTTTTCTTTTTACCTGTAGCCAAAACACACACGCACAATTACCCACACAAACACCTACAGTTAGGCCAAGATACACACTCTAAGGCACCTGAAGTGATTTTCCTTTCTAATTATAATCTTCCAAAAAATGTTAAGAATCTGCTTTCAGATGAAGTTGTGCTTTGAGTAGGAAGTTTTGTGGGGGCAGCTGGGCGACTGAAGTCTTTAAAGGTGTGGTGTTTTCTCTTCAAGAGAGGAAAGGTCATTTGGCATCTTGATAGATCAATTTCTAATAAATGCAAACTCTGGAAAGTGGATACAATTTTTTTATTACTAATAAAGAATAATTATAATCTCACTAAAAAAAAAATCTAAAAAATGTTGTTTTTTTTTCTCCTGTTGTTTTTTTTGCTCCTCTGACAGGTATTTTATTATTATATTATATTATTACCAAAAATTCCTTTATCATGATGCCTTTAAAAATGAGAAATGAGTCGACCACATAAAGTACCAAAGATAAATGGCTTGACAAGTGAGTTCCATGAGAGGATATTTGAGTAATATTAAAAGATATGCAGAATATCTTAAATGTGCTTTGCGGGTCATCAGTCAGCTGTGAACCCCTTTTCGACAGACATGGAAGGTGACAACAAGCACTTAACAGCACGTAAACAGTGTCTACGTGATGATCTATCGCCATGAGTAGTTTGAGAGTAAAAAGAACCATTTGTAGCCATAATTATCATTTATCACTGGCACCGCCAACAGGGATCCGACTGCACTGTCAAGTAGATACAGGTAGAGATCTTAACATCGTGTACAGAGAAAAGAAAAGAAAAACTCTTTTCTTTTACTCTCTCCTGTTATTCAGTAATCTGATCTTCCTATCCGCAGGCTCCAAAACAGACAGGTAGAGAGCTGGTGACACTGCATTAACCTCTTCCCTCAGTGCTGAAGCAGTTAAAAAACATAAATGAGAGATACCAGATTTTAATCTTCTCTTCACAGGCTACGTATCTGAGCTCTGCATAAGCAGAGAATGCATTGTTTCTCACACACAATGGGGATATGCGTCACTTATTGACAGCTTGCATTAATGTACAGGGCAATCACCTGGGATTATTTCTTAAGTGCCAACCCTCTCTCCCTGTCCCCTCCACCCACCCAATACCACAGCGTACGTCCCTCACACTTCCTCCCTCTGTGCTTATTATCTTTTCATATTGCTCTCTGCTTCAATACCTTCACGGCTGGCACAAGTCTCAACACTGCTGCTAAGCCACAGATTAATGATTAGGGCATTACTCAGCTCGTCTCTGTTTTTCTCTCTGGTTACACCTCCCTTTCTCCTCCTCCTATCCCTCACTTATCCAAATTCTGTCCCTTCGATTCCAGTGCCAAACAGTACTTAACTAACACGACTCCTTAGAGAAAACTGGCTGAGAATAAAAAGTGGTGGTGGTGGTGGGGGGGGGGGGGGGGCATCAGACTGCTCACCAGCTACTCAAGACACAAAGACATAAGACACAAACTCACCGAAGGCAGCAACTTTGATGAGGATAGCATGGAGGTCAGCTGATATAATCTCAGAGAGCAGGGACTGTTGGTTTCGGCGCCACAGGTAGGCCAGGGGCTGCAAACCTAGCCGCAAACATCTGGGAAGTGGGAAAGCAGTAGGTTGTAGAAAAAGCAGAAGACACAAAGTGGTTACTCCACTGTAAAAATAAAAGAGCTGAGAAAACACCAAATCATCTGTTTAGTGAGCTTGAAATTTTAAGTTGACTCAAATGTTTGGTCACATGGTCACTGCAGACAGATACAGTATATTATCCTTTTACATTTCTCAGTTTTAAGTCAGTTCTTCATTTGACATGAAAAACTTAACAGCTGCAGCTGTTGGATGCACTTTGTACCAAAATCAGCACATTGAGAACATGCAAGGCTGCTCAAAGTGACCTTGTACTGCACCAAGTGTAAGGGGCAGGGACTGAATTCACTACTAATCTTCATCACAGTTCACACTGTTTTCATTATTATGAAAAAAAAAGCAGCCATTACTTAATAAATATCACAAACACAGGGAAGGTTACCACCATGAATGGGCTCTTCAAAATACAAATAGAAGAGTTAATGAAGTGTTTTACCTCATCAACGATGCATGCTGGGAAGTATGCTAATTTTGTTTCTTTAAAAACTTCATTCAATAAGTCGAATGAACCCTTAGCAGTTCCTTCATTCAAATGTAGTGGTCTGAAAACTACAAAAAGCTAGACATTCTAAGTTGAATGAATATGAAATGAACAAAGTTTGTATTACATATAATGTTTTCCAATGTACAGTACACCAAAGGTTTTGCTGAGTAAACTTGTAATTTTGAGTTCTGACAAATCTTAAATTTTTGTCTATAGTACCTATTCATTAAGTGAAGTATAGGTTAACAATATTAACTGTCCATTACAGCCCACTGATAATTGAAATTTCAAAGATTCACCCTCCAAATAAACTCCTTTGTACCTCACTAGCTATTGCCTAGTTAGTGCAACATTGACAATATTTAACATTATCAGCTGGAAAAAGTAAATGGAATAACAGTGGAAGTCTGTCACATAGCCTTTTCTTTTCCAGAACAACTTCAAAGACAAATGGACTGGGCACTGTCTCCATTTGCAGGAAAGCTGCCACCCTAATAGGCCCACAGCACATGCTCCCACCTGCCACCACTGCTAGTGGCTTTATTCAAGGAGAAGACAAAAGCAAAACATTCCATCTTAAGCTGTGGCTTGTCTGTCGCATAAACTCCCCATGAACCACACACATCCACAGTAGGTAACTGGAGCCAAAAGGTCTGCACGCTATTGTCTCCTGCTCAAAAAATGCCTAAGATGTTTATGTGTACGCATCTAGCGTGTATGAGAGGAGGGACTGTTGACTGACAGCAGGATTTGTTAATAAGAAGACAGCTTTTGCACTGCAGTGTGTCTAGTCAGCACAAGTTTAGAAAAGGAGAAACCAAAGAGAGAGGACCAAAAAACAAGAGAAAGAACAAAACAAGAAGAAGAAAGACAGATGGGATTCTGTGTCACAAGGAACCCATCTCATCTTTCTTAAGACTGTTGTGTTTCAACCCTAAAACATGTTTTTTATATTTACAAAATCATGACAATTGTGATTAACAGTTTCAATCCTTTTTTTGAAATCGTTGCTCCATAAAAAGAGAACCACACCATAGAATCAAAGCTAGTTTAAATAAAATTGCTTTACCAAAACTCAGTGTGTGTATGTGTGTTTAAACAAAACTCACAGTGAGGTAAAGACTACAGAGGATGTAGGCTTTTCCTTCAATGGACCACAGTGTTTAGGTTGAGAGGCCTAAATGCAGATTGTGTATTTCAGATTTAAAAAAAAAAGTGTGTGTGTGTGTGTGTGTGTGTGTGTGTGTGAGACCCACACATTTTCCACACGGACCCTCTGGTAATCGGACAGAATGGCCCCTACAGACACTGCCTCAACACCTTCCTTTTCCTGTGGGGAGGAAAAGATGGAGGAAACTTAACCACAAAGCTTTCTTGACTGCTCCATTATACAGTGTGGCCAACATGCACTGTAACTGCAACATGATGCCAATGTCCCATGGGGCTCCTTGTTCCTGGTTGACTGTGCTCAACCTGCAGTCGTAGTCCAGAGTGAACAAACCCACACAAACACATGTAAACATAGACGCACAGAGATTGAAACAGACAAAGAAAGCAGATTCCTGATGGTTCTGTCTTTTCACTGGATCACAGTCCTGTGGGGATATTTACATTCTAGTTGTAACAAGGCCTTTTTGGTCCAGCCTTTATCCTCTGGAGGTTTTGCACGCAGGGCACTGCTAGAAAACGTGTACATGTGTCCTACTGAACGCACTGGCACCACGCCCAGATGAAAGACAGAACCATAGCAACAACCTCAAGTATCAGCGGAGCATTGCGTCTTAGAGTGGCATGTATCTTTTAATATTCCTGAGGGCTAATGAAATTGCTTTTCATATCATATTCATATTTCAGAAACAGTGAGACAACTATGTACTCGAGAGATACTGACACAGCCTTGAGAAGCGTTCAATCTTCTCTCGCAAAAGCAGGCCGGAGCTGGAGTGACAAACGCAAACGTGCAAGCGAGAGCTGCACGCTCACACACTTATGTACACTGACATACATGCACAACCCACTTCTCAACCTCCATGCCCCTCCCGTACTGGCACACACCTGCGGATTCATTAGAACATTACATGGGCTGTAATTAGAATAAGAGGCAAGCGTAGAACCAGTGGAGGGATGCACAAGTCTCCAGTAAATTACCTTGTAGCCATTATCAATTTCCCTGGCTACTGGTCCTTAAGATAACCCCCAACCCCTCCTTCTCCCTGTGGTCCCTTCCTGCAATTTTTCTCTGCCTGATAAACATGCTGATTAAAGCGAACAGCGTGTAAACCTTTGATACTTTCCTAAATGAAATCCATGCCCTGCCTGGGGCTTGATGCTGAGCTGCGTCGCAATGTGCCTCACACATACACACACACACACACACACATAGGCGTGCCAGCTAATCAGATAAAGGATGTGCTCTGTGTGTATGTGTATGGGTGTGTGCATGGATGTGTGTTGTGTTAACAGTGCAGCCAAGGATGTGAGGCATAAAGGCAAAGCTAAACACACACAGGCAACAGCTAGAATTGAACTCTGCTTGACCTAAGGTTAAATACCAAGATATCTTAAGAACCTGGGATTCAGTACTCAAGTTTTAATATTTCTCCAATGTGTCCAACACAGAAATATACAACACAGTCAATTCTACTGCCCAGTGACAGTAATTAAGTCAGACTGATAACATTTCAGGCCTGCACAGAGAGAAGGGGGCTGCAGGCAGTGTCATGTAATTCTAGGTAAGCCTCAGGGCCAGCACTCTATTCTAATGCAATGATAACCTTTTCCCTAAATACAACTGTCACTTCCTAAAGAGGCAAATTAGGAGGTAAAGAGTGGGATGGGGAGAGACAGAGAGAAAGGAAAAGTGATAAGAAAGAGAGAGTGTTGAAGGAGTACGCTACATCAACACCAATTTAGTCCCTTGACTTTCCTTTGACCAGACTTAGCCTGACGGAATGAGAGAGCATCAGAGCGACAGTGGAAAAAATAACTTGTGGTTCTACCTCTCTGTCTCCTTTCTCTTTGGAGGGAGACTGTTGCACGTACTTGTGCTTCTGAGGTTCGACTCAGCCTCGATCAATTAGATGGCTACATTACATCATCCAGTCCTATAATACCCAGGCATACTTGCCACTAATGATAACACAAGACAAATTTCTCAGACATCCCCTTGTTTTCAGTGGCGACTCTAGCTACTAGACCTTCTGGCAAACAGCTTTGGAAAATGATTATTTTTGGATGGGGTTATGTTTTTGTCGCTATTATAGCAATCATCAGGAGACAAGCAGGA